GCAGGTAGAGAGTTAAAATCAGAATATAGGTAGGTCAGAATATAGGCACAAACGAGAGCACAAAGAACTTTGCCAATACTTAGCTAGGATGTACTGCCAGAACCTAGAGATAGAGATTAGGTGGTACTGTGCACTAAAAGAATGCACACACACCTAACATGAGTAAGATAGGGGTGAAATGGGACCCCGGCTGCACTCGCGCCCCCGACCCCCCCTGGAAGGAGGAGCCCATCAACTGCCCCCCCCCCCCAAACCCCCTGAGACCCCCAAACCCATCCCCAGCCCCACCTGGGAGGAGGAGCCCATCAACTGACCCCCCCCAACCCCCTGAGACCCCCAACCCCATCCTCACCTCCACCTGGAAGGGGGAACCCATCAACTGACCCTCCTCAAACCCTCTGGGACCCCCAAACTCCACAGCACCCCCTCCCCACATGGTGCTCCAACAACCCCCAGCCCCACAGGACCCCCTGCCATCCCAAGGCCACCTGAAGCCAGACAAGGCCTAGAAAGCAGGTAGAGAGTTAAAATCAGAATATAGGTAGGTCAGAATATAGGCACAAACGAGAGCACAAAGAACTTTGCCAATACTTAGCTAGGATGTACTGCCAGAACCTAGAGATAGAGATTAGGTGGTACTGTGCACTAAAAGAATGCACACACACCTAACATGAGTAAGATAGGGGTGAAATGGGGCTTGAGTCCAAGAATCTTGCAAAATTCACCATGAAGTCTGCCAAAACTGAGAAAGTTGAAAAGTTCATGAAGATGATGGAGCCTGGGCCAGGGGCTGATAAGGATGAAGAACAGGATTCTCCCCAAATTGAACATCACGTCCCAGACTCTGCCTAGACTCCACTTATTATGAATATTATAATTAGATGTTGCATTTATATGAATATGTATGTAAATATGTTGCAATCACTGGTAGAAATGGTATAAAATGCTGTAATTTCACTGGAGGGGCAGAGCAGTTTGTCCAGCGCGAGCTGGCTGCTCTCCAACGTTCCCTAATAAACACACCTCGCTGCTTAAAGCCTAAATCTTGTCTCTGAGCAGTTCTCTACGCCTTCTGGGGGGCACTTATTGGTATCACAGCCAGGACCCTCAGAGCCCCCCCAGGAACCCCCAGACCCCTCCACCCCAGAGCCACCAGCACCATTCCATCTTCCTGGGGCCTCCCCTCCCTTCTGGGCCCTCAGAGCCCCTCAGAACCCCCCATCGTGTTGCAAATCCCAAATCCCACAGAGGTGGCGGTTCACGGAACGTTCTGGAACAGTCGGTGGGACACTGAGAGCTCAGTAAGGAGCCGGGGAGGCCCGGCCCAGCTCAGGGGCTCTGGGGCCGCCTCAAGAACCACATTAAGGCGGCCCAACCCAGTTTAGGGGCTCTTTGGCCGCCCAAAAGTAACAAGCTGGGCTTTGGGGCCGCCTAAAGTAGCAAGTCAAGGAGGCCCAACGCAGTTTAGGGGCTCCGGGGCCACCTAAAGTAACAAGTCGGGATCTCCGTGGGCGCCTAAAGTCCCACCCTGTAAGGGGATCTCTAAGTCTTGGCCAATAAATAGGGGCACCCCCCCCCACACACACACCACGCGGTCTGGCCGCGATAAGGCCCGATCCCCGTTGTTCCGGGGTTTACCCCCGGTTTATTCCCGGTTTATTCCCACCTTATTCCCGGTTTATCCCAGGCTTATCCCGGCCGCCCTCGCCAGGCGGCAGCACCGCGGGCCGCGGGCGGCGGAGGTGACGACAGGCGGATTCCGTCGGCAGCGCCGCTCGCAGTCTCCCGCTCCACCAGAGGAGCGGTGAGTGAGGGGGGAACAGGGGAACGGGGGGCTCTGGGGGGAAACGGGGCTCTGGGGGAACGGGGGGGAAAGGAGGGGACCGGCGGCGATTGGGGGGGGGGGCGGAAGGCGCGGGGGGAACGGGGGGTTCTGTGGGGACTGGAGGAGACTGGGGAGCTCTGAGGGGATCTGGAGAGTCTGAGGGGACCGGAGGGCTCTGAGGGGACCGGGGGGAACACGGGAACTCTGAGGGAACCACGAGGGATCGGGAGATTCTGAGGAACGCGGGGGGAATCTCAGGGAACCAGGGAGGCTCTGAAGGGACGAGGGGTTCTGAGGGGGTCGGGGAGGATCGTGGGGCTGTGAGGGATCGGAGGGCTCTGAGGGGACCGGGAGGCTCATGAGGGTGTCGAGGGGACTGTGGGGATCGGGGTGGGGGGGGATCGAGGACTCATGAGGGGGTGGGGAGGGGGGGGGGGGGGGGGGGGGCCGGGGGGGGGACGGGGGCGGTGGTGGGGGGTCATTGGGACGGGGAGGGGGTGTTGCCTGCCCTCCCTCTCCCTCACCCGCCTCCCCTCCCCTGATCTCCCTCGCCTGTTCTGCTCTGAGGGCAGCAGAGATGGACACCCAGGACATTGAAGAGCTGCAGCAGGAGGTGGTGGAGGAGCTGGGAATCTCCCTGCAGGAGCTGCAGGAGATCATCGACAAGGAGGTGGAGAACTCCGAGTGGGTGAGGCAGCGAAAGCAGCAGCTGGAGGAGCTGGAGAAGTGTGTGAGGCACAAGGAGGAGGAGGCGGCTCACGTTGACCAGCTCATCGACAATGCCACGAGGTGGGTGGACCTGGAATGGGCCGGAATTCCGAGGAAGGGGCTGTGGGGGGTGTTCTCATTCCCTTTGGAGCGGATTGAGGTCACTTAGTTTGCCTGTGGTTAATGAGGGCCAGTGACAGCTCCCCAAGGCTTTAAATCCTTGGTGCCGACGCTTCCCTCAGGGAGCTGCCCAGCTGCCTGGTCACCCCTGTGGTATTCCAGGATGTACAGCTGCATTCCCTCCCTCTCCTCCAGAGCCATCGACAAGTGCGAGACGTTGGCCAAGGAGTTGTACTCCATGATGGGCCTCCAGTACCGGGAGAGCAGCTCCGAGGACGAGGCCCCGGCGGCCACGGAAGTGATCGAGATCCCGGACGAGGAGGACGACGACGTCATGAGCGTGGACTCGGGCTGGAAGCACAGTTCAGTAAATCCCAGTGTGCCCAGGACAGCAGGGGGAGTGGGATAAGGGGCTGCTCATGAGGAGCATCTGCCGCGTCCTGTTAACGTTCCACGATTCCTGGAATCCCAAACTGGGATTTCACCCTTTCCCAACGTCCCTGACTGTTGTCCCCCGTCAAACACTGCCTCACATTAGAAAAGATGAATGAGGAAAAGCCTTATTTGAGTGGATTTCCTGACAGGGGGTTGAGGTGGATGCTTTTCTCTGTCCTCTCTTTTTCCTGGGGTTTAACTAGGATAGATTTTTTTTTTTCTCCAAAAAACATTTTAAACTACTTTTTCCTCTTCACTCACAGGCACCAGCAGCTCCAGAATCTCCAAAGATCAGAGTCTGGTGAGTGAGAAGGTCCTGACTACAGATGATTCTTCAAGTGGGGATTTTCCTGGGACACAGTGTTTGTGTTTGGTGCAAAGAAAAAAAGAGTTTTTCCATAACTCCCCTGTCTTTTTTCCCTTCCAGCTGCAGGAAGCAATGGCTGCCATGAGGAGATCAGCCCGGGATGTTGCCAAATTCATGGATGCTGTGAACAAGAAAACAAGCTCCCAGGAAGCACAAAAAGGTGTGGGACCTTCCAGGGGCCTGCAGACCCCCTGGTGTGGCCTGGCCCTGGGCCTTTGTTTCCCAAAAAAGGCAAACAACGATCCAGTTTCCTTACTGGGGAGCTCTGTTAGGATTTATTGACTCCAGATTTAGGGTATATTGATTCCAAACTCCTGTTTTTCTTCAAGTCCTTTCCCTGCAGTAAAATGGAGGCACTCGGGCTGCCTGAGGGGAAGGAAAGCAGGAATTCCTCCTGCTGCAGCTCGGAGGGATGTGATTCCAGCTGTAATTCCAGCAGAAAAGGGAGCTCTGGGTGATTTATAACTGATCCTTGTTCCTTGGCAGAGGCACAGCCCCCTCAGCCATGTCCTGGCACTGCCCAGCCCGTTGTCCCCGCGGCCCCTGGGGATGATCTCAACACTGACGGGGATCTCAAAGTGGGAATGAGGATTTTGGGCAAGAAAAGAACCAAAACGTGGCACAAAGGGACCTTGATTGCCATCAAACCAGTCGGTACGTGCTGGGCCTGGGGCTTTCCCTGGGATCTGGGGGGGGAGACTTGGATTAAAAGGTGTCAGAGCACCTGGTGTCAAACCTGGAAGGGACAGTGGGAGCGACGCAGCTCCACTGTTTCACCCTCCAGATGGATTCTGAACAGATTTTAAATAAACTCCGAGTTAATTGTGAATAAACAGGCTCAGAATGACCCCAGGGCGTTGCCTCTCTGGGATGAAACCTCTCGGGCTTCTGTTTAGTTTCCCTTTCGTTTATTTTCTGTTTGTCTTTAAAAAAAAAAACGTCTTTTCCCAGGTGCTGGCAAGAAATACAAAGTGAAATTTGATAACAAGGGGAAGAGTTTGCTCTCGGGCAACCACATTGCCTACGACTACCACCCGTGTCCTGAGGGGCACCACGTGGGCAGCAGGGTGGTGGCCAGGTACAAGGATGGCAATCAGATGTGGCTCTATGCTGGCATCGTGGCTGAGACCCCCAATGTCAAGAACAAAGACAGGTATTCCTTATTTCCCAGAGTAATGAACTTCCAGCTCTATTTTTTTTTGGTTTTTTGTTTGAGGCAAAAAAAAGCTTACCTGGGTATCCTTCAGCTGCTGAATTCTGCCCTCCCCAGGAACGAGTTTTGAGTCTTTCCTTAATCTTATCTCTGAAACCTCAGGGTGGAGCTTCCAGTCTCTTGCTCGTGGCCCTGAGACAGGAATTAGATCTGCTAATTTATTCAAATTATCACCCAGATGTGGAGTCTGGGCTGCCTGAGGTGTGAAACAGTGGGAGGAAATGGGAGCCCTGGAAGGGTTCAGTGCCAGCAGCGCTGTCAAAGCGCTTTGGGAGGAGAAAGGAGCAAGTTTGGAGCAGCTTTTATGGGAATAAGGGGCAGGGCTGCTCCGGTCTATTAAAATCCCGGCTTGTGGTTTCCCTGAAGAGGCTGATGAAGGGTTTAATGACTCTGGATCTGCTGAGTTGCACCTGATCCACGTTTAATAACGGGAAATGAGCTGCATTTGTTACTCACGTTGCAGATTTCCTCCTGGTCGTGGGGCTGATGCTGTTGTACAACTCCGGAGCCGTCACTCCGAGACACGTGGCACTGAGTGGGTGCCTTACCCGGAGTTCAGGGCTCCCCCAGGGTTGGGATGCGTCCAGGAGGAACAGGAGAGGTTCTCCACTTGCCTTCTGTGACGTGGAGCTGTTTTCTGTTCGGCTCCCTTCCTGATTTCCCGCCTGTTTTTCCAGGTTCCTGATCTTCTTCGACGACGGCTACGCGTCGTACGTGAAGGAGTGGGAGCTGTACCCCGTCTGTCGGCCACGTGAGTGATCCCATCCCACCTGGGGAGGTTTGGGCTCAAAAACCAGGGGACAGAGGGTGTGTCCCCTCCGGTGCTGTGCCTGGAGACGTCTGAAATCCCGAGTTATTGCCAGGGTGAGTTCAGGATGTGCCCCACCACCGAAATTCCAGCCCCTCGGGATGGCCCCTGGATTGACCATGTGTAAAAATCCACCAGGGATCTCCTAAAAGAAAAGAATTAAAAGGTTCTCTCTGGTTTTTTCCGCTTCCCTTTTTCTCATCCGTCTCTTTCCATGCAGTGGAAAAAAGCTGGGAAGACATTGAGGATGTTTCCTGTCGGGATTTCATCGAGGAATACATCACTGCCTACCCCAACCGGCCCATGGTGCTGCTGAAGAACGGGCAGCTCATCAAAACCGAGTGGGAAGGGACCTGGTGGAAATCCAGGGTGGAAGAAGTGGATGGAAGTCTGGTCAAAATCCTCTTCCTGGTAGGAATTTCCCTTCTCCTGTTAGGAAAATTGGATTAAATTTGAGTCTGGGGGGCTGGCTCAGCTGCGTTTTTGTTACTGATCACGGAATTATTAAGGCTGGAAGAACCTCTTGAGATTTTGGAGTGCAAGGCCCCCACTGAATCATGACCCCAAGTGCCACATCCAGAGGGGTTTTGGACAATTCCAGGGATGGGAGACTCCACTCTGGGCAACCTGTGCCAGGGCCTGAACACGCTTTCCCTGGAGAAACTTTCCCTGATACCCAGCCAGGGATTCCAACCTAAAAAACCCCACGACCGTGCTGTCTGTCAAGGCTCACCGTTGTCTCCCTGGGCTCTCTTGTGTTTTTTTTTCCCCCAGGAACCTCTTCCCATGGGAAGTGGGAGCGTGTCCTACTCCCTCCTGCAGGAGGATAAACGGTGTGAGTGGATTTACCGTGGCTCCACACGCCTCGAGCCCATGTTCAGCATGAAAACCTCCACAGCTTCCACCCAGGAAAAGAAGCAAAGTGGGCAAACCAGGACTCGGCCCAATGTCGGTCGGTGGCACCTCCTGCTTTCACTCATAGCCTGGGGTTTAACTGGGGGGTGGGTTGGGTGTGGTGGGTTTTTAGCAGAGCTCTGGAGATTTCAGCTTTCTGGGATTTTTGCCCCCCGGCTCGTGAGGTTTCGGGTTTCCAGTGGGATTTTGTAGCAGAACTCCTGGAGATTTTGGGTTTCCCAGTGCTTTGTCCTCCTGGCACAGCTGTCGTATTTCCAGTGGAATTTTTCCCCTGGAATTACACCACCAAACCAAACTGCATTTGGGGGAAGTGACCAGAATTTTTGGGGGGAGTTGCTGTGCCCCAGATCTTGGCCGTGCCCCAGATAATCCCAAATCCCTCGGTTTTCATTCCTTGCAGGCACCAAGTCGGTATTTTGGGGCTGGTGCAGCCAACCTGGGATAATGCTGGAGATTTTTCCTGTTGACTCTTTGGTTTTTCACCTTCCCCCCCCAGGTGCTGTGAGGAGCAAAGGCCCTGTGGTCCAGTACACCCAGGATTTAGCAGGAGCTGGTCCCCAGTACAAACCCCCGGAGCAGCTCCCGGCTGCTTCCTCTGTGTCCCCTCAGCCTGCAGAGATGGAGTAAGTACTGGAGCCACTTCCAACACTTCCACCTCCTTTGCTTTCCCTCTCCAGCACTTCCACCTCCTTTGTTTTCCCTCTCCAGCACTTCCACCTCCTTTGCTTTCCCTCTCCAGCCCTCAGCTCGCTCAGGCATCACCTCCTCTCTGCAGAGGAATCCTCAGGTGCAGGTTCCCTCCGATTTTGGGGGAACACCCTTGGCTAAAGCTGCAGGATGAACAATTGGGGGTGGGAGCCAACACCCCCCCCACCCCGAGCCAAAAATTCCTCCTCGGGGCTAAAGCTTCGCACTTTTGTCTTTCCAAAGGGGCCCTTTGCTCCTCGTGTTCCCCCAACCTGAATTGCTCCCTCGTGTCACGATCCAGGCGCTGGCCCCCGGCTGCCTCGTGTCCCTGCACCTGGACTGACCTCGCTGGCTTCCCAGGGAATCCGGGATCAGCGGTGGGTCCCGGTGGGCACGGAGCAAACCCCGGCCAAGCCGCTGCCAGGGGCCCAAGGGGGACGTCCCCGGAGCCTGGAGGAGGCCTGGATGGAGGAGGAGCTCGGCTTGGTGCTGAAGGGAGCGTGTTGGAGGACACCAGGGAGCCCGGGAATGTGCTCTGGGACTCTTTAGGGGAGGGAGCTGCTCTCCCGGGTCAGTTCTGCCCCCGCTGTGGATTCCCCATCCGGATCTGCGGCCGCCTGGCCCCGTGCCAGCACGTCTTCTGCTGTGACTGTGCCCTGCTGGTGGGGCACGAGGGGGGCAGGAGGTGTCCCAGCTGTGAGGAGCCTGTGCAGGAAGTCAATCTTTACTCCCCCGAGGCTCTCCAGGTGTAGCAGCAGCTCAGACCCCGGCTGGGGGGGTGTCTGGTGGGGGTTCCTCTCCGAGCAGTGCAGTATGACCCAATTTTACCCCTGGAAACGCTCCCCCTGTGCCGCTCTGACCAGGAGTTGGGGATTGAAGCCACAAGAACGTTGTTCCTCACCTTTTCCATAACCCAGAAGAGAGGCTGGATGCTGGAGGAGGTCCCAAAATCCCCCCTGTGTGCAGGGAAGGGCCGGGCTGTGCCTGGCACTGGGACACTCCGGGCTGGGAGGGCGTCGGGACCGTGGGCACGACGTGAACACGACCAAGTTGGACCTGCAGCCCCGTCGTGGGCAAATCCTTCCCCACTTCCTCCTTGCAGTGGTCACAAGGAGTTCTTTCCCTCTCCCCACAGAGGGTTTGGCTTTAGGATCTGGTTTCCATCCGGGCAGACACTGCAGCTGCTTCCCTGCCCTCAAACCCAGCTGGTGTGAGCGGTGCCCCGGGGCCGTGTCCCTGTCCCTGCTGAGCCCAGGGATCCTTGGATTTTAGATCATTAAAACCAAGAATGGTCTCTCCACTCTGGTGTTTTGTTTCCTCTGAGGAAGGCCTGGGTCTCTTCCCCCCTCTGGTCTCACTTTCAGGTTCTTCTTGGCTCTGTCAAACCAGTTCTCACTGTTCTCAGCCGATTTTTCCTCTTGCTCTTTGAGATGTGTTTGAACACTTTGCTTTCAGGCAGCTCTTAGCAGAAGCCCTCACCTCTTTCCATGTCTCCTCCCTTTTTCCCTGATAACTTCAGTGTTCTTCCATTTCAGTGGCTGGTTTGGGGTGGTTTTCTGTTTAATTGGTGTAAAGGGATTGAAAACCTTCCGGAATGGATTGAAAACCTGCTGGAATTGATTGAAAAACCATGACATAGGTTGAAAACCTGATTTTTGGGAGCCCCTTGTAGCTCTTTCATCAGGGGTGTTACTGCATTCCCTTGCACAACCATGGATTGTTCCTCAGTCTTGCCAAAAGAGTCCTCTGGATTAGTTCCTCCCACTCCTGACTAGCTGAGCCTCTGGAAACTCTGGTTTCTGCTATTCCAGGGATTTCTTCATGGCCTGGTTTGTCGAGCTGCGTGGGATGAAGACCTTGGGCATCGTTGTTACCCTTGCCTTACTTGCCACTCACAAGTTACTGTTAACTGTTGCTGGGTCCTGGAATTTGGGGTGGTTGTGGGATTGCTGTGGCAGAAATAGTCAGAGATGGGCTGATTTTCACACTTACTAGGAAAAAAAAACCCCACCTGCTGGGATTCTCCTGGATTTCTCAGTTCCGTGGGGGGGGAGTGTTGCTTTGATTCCCGCCGGTCGTTTTTCCACCTTCCAAATCGCCTCCTCCTTGCCTCCTGCAGATGCTCTGACAGCCAGCTGGCCCAGTCCAGGAAGCAGGTGGCCAAGAAAAGCACTTCCTTCCGTCCTGGCTCGGTGGGCTCCGGGCACTCGTCCCCTTCCTCCCCCGTCCTCGGCGACGCTGCGGCTCCGGGAAGGGGCAGCGCGGCCCCGCAGCACCGGTGAGCAGAGCTTGGGGTGGGGAGTGGGACACAAATCCATGAGTGCTCCTGGGTTTGGGATGTTGGGACACATTCGGGGGGTTGCCTGTGCTGGTGGGTGTCTGCTGGGGCTCGGCAGGTGGAATCATGGAGTCATGGAATCAGGGAGTCATGGAATCAGGGAGTCATGGAATCATTCAGGTTGGAAAAGCCCCTCGAGTCCAGCACTGCCAAGGCCACCCCTGACCCATGTCCCCAAGTGCCACGTCCACACCTGCAGGGATGGGGACTCCACCACTGCCCTGGGCAGCCTGTGCCAGGGCCTGACCACCCTTTCCATGAAGAAACTTTCCTGAATATCCAGCTTTAACCTCCCGTGGTTTTCCTGTGGAAACTTGAGGCTGCTTCCTTTTGTCCTGTCCCTTGTTCCCTGGGAGCAGAGACCAACACCCCCCCCCCCCCCCCCCCCCCCTCCGGGGGGCGCAGAGAGCAAAAAGGTCCCCCCTGAGCCTCCTTTTCTGCAGGCTGAGCCCCCCCAGCTCCCTCAGGAGCTCTCCAACCCCTTCCCCAGCTCCATTCCCATCTCTGGACATGCTCCAGCCCCATTCCCATCTCTGGACATGCTCCAGCCCCTCAGTGTCCATCTTACCATGAGGGCCCTAAAACCATCCCAGGACTGGAGGTGCCCCAGCAGTGCCAGCACAGGGCTGGGCAGTGCCCTGGTCATGCTGTGGCTGGTCCAAGCCAGATGCTCATGTCCAGCTGGGCACACTGTGCTCGTGTCCCCCACCCTGCTCTCCCCTAACCCCTCTCCCCATCCCTTCTGGGCACACCGTGCTCCTGTCCCTAACCCCTCTCCCCATCCCTTCTGGGCACACTGTGCTCATGTCCCTCACCCTGCTCTCCCCTAATTCTTCTCCCCATCCCTTCTGGACACACTGTGCTTGTGTCCCCCCCACCCTGCTCCCCATCCCTTCTGGGCACACCATACTCGTGTCCCCCACCCTGCTCTCCCCTAACCCCTCTCCCCATCCCTTCTGG